GTGTTGAAGTGCAGTGTACTTGTACAGTAACTGTGTGTGTGTGTGTGTGTGTGTGGGTGCATACTCGCCGGAGCTCAGGGGTCAGCTGTGTGTACACTCAGCCTATCACACGTGGCCCTCTGAGAGGCAGCCCCCTCCTCGCTCGCCCAGAGTTAGTATTCAGAGCACAGAGACGCAGACAGATACCTATTCATATCCACAGTGTGAGTCTAGCACAGAGAGAGAGAGAGAGAGAGGAGAGAGAGAGAGAGGGGGAGGAAAAGAGCAAGAGAGTGCAAGAAGGCATAGCAGAAGACAGTGTAAGGGTATGGGAGAGGATGAAAGGGAGAGGAAAGAAAGGGAGGAGTAGAAAGAGTGAAATTAGTGGGAAGAGAGAGAAAAGGATAGAGAAAGTGAGAGAGAAAATGAGAAAGTCATAAAGAGAGAGAGAGAGTTAAAAGAGGGGAAGAGAGAATGAAAGAGAGAAAGAGAACAGAGAGAAGAGTGAGAGAGTAGAGTGCATAAAAGATATGAGAGAGAAATAAGTAAGAGAAACAGAAGAAGGGGAGAAAGAGGAGGATGAGAGAGAGAGAAAAACAGAAAAGGGTGAGAAAACCCAGGAGAAGGAGTAAAAAGGGTAAAAGTGGGGGAAAAAAAGACAGACACAGAGAAAAAGGAGATAGAAGGAGGAAAAGAGAGAGAAAAGGGCAGAAAAAGAGAGTGGGGGAGGAAAGAAGAGAAAAAAAGAAAATGAGAGAGGGAGGAGAGAGAGAGGGAGAGAGAATGAGAGAGAGAGAAGGAGTGAGTGAGAGAGAGATCAGAAAAGAGAGAGCGTGTCAGATCACTTTGGTACTGGCACTTTTGTTTTATTTATTTATTTAATTAGATTCGGAAACCAAGAGCTGAATGAATCAAAAGCTTCCATTTAGAGAAGAGAGAGAGAAAGTGAGAGAGAGAGAGAGAGAGAGAGAGAGAGAGAAGTGAGAGAGAGAGAGAGAGAGAGAGAGACAGACAGACAGAGAGAGAGAGAGAGAGACAGACAGAGAGAGAGAGAGAGAGAGACATACAGACAGACAAGCTGTAAAAGGATTCACCTTTTAAAGTGATGCTCTGTTCAGTCTGAGAGGAGGTGTGGAGGTGCTGTGTGTGTCTGTGTGTACTGATTAAGCACTTCTCATTAAGGGAGCTCATTCTGCCATCTGCTCCAAATCACTGTTGAGGATGTAATGGATATAGATTGCTGATACATTGATAAAGTCAAAGGAAACTAAGTGAATGAACAGGAGTTCAAAAATGATTAAAGAACTATTTGGACGGGATAAGTTTTTCACGCAGAGGTGGAGTAATGTGATTGTACCACTGGGCGTATGTAATGTTGATGAGCAGTTTGCATGGGATAAGAAATCTTGGTATAAATCACAGAGAAGGGAGTGGCTAATTGATTTATGCAGACTGCCTTTAGTCCTGAAACAAGTAGAAAACACAAACATTTAATTAATTCAGTTTACCTCGACCATCTGTCTTGTCTTAAGTGAATGCATTGTAATGTTTCAATATTCTGAATTGCTCTCATATCTGCTAGAACAAAACACATTGGCTTGATTTTAGCCACAGAGAACCCAAGTAAGTTCTTCTTTAAGTGACTTCATACTTAAGAAACCCTGAACTTACACAGAAAATGATTTTCTGTGCAATGGCAATTTTACCAACTTGTCAATTCTCACAGGATTATTATAACCTGACATTATTTATATTGCTTGGTGTGTAGCTGTCAAGAAGCCATGAAGAATATGAAATAGACAAAAAAGAAGAACACTTGCACATCAAACAAGGAAGGTGGTGGTGTTTGAGGTCATGTCCATGCTTTCTCCTCAAACAGTTCTTATTGACATTTCAGAAATCTGGAGATGAGTTCATCCCAGACTGCGCACAAACTTAGCAAACCCAAGTGCTAGCCAGCCTGAGTGAGGTCCAAAGCTCTAACAGCACATATTGGCAGACATCATGATCTTGAATTTCTGTCACAGATTACTTAATATTACTTAATACCATTTCTGCACCTTTAATGCAAACATTTAAAATGCTTCAGGCCTGTAGCAGCTCAGCACATAATTCACTGCTAGTGCTAATATGCAAGAGACAGAAACACACTTTATTTACTTAATTTCCAGTTTAAAAATGGCCTCTAAGTTCAAGATATTCATTTTCAGTGATATTTCTGAGATTAGATGTAAGAAAAGCAACTTGCACAAGGAACTGGAAAGTCAAAGGAACATTGGTAAAAAAACAGGAGTTTCTAAAACTGGGATTTAAAAAGATATTATTAAATTATTTTATTTTACAGATTATTAAAACATATAAAGATGGGTCTCTTAACAAGAGCTAGTAGACCACCAAAACTATCACCATCAAACAAAATTGCTGCAGCTTTCATCTGAAAAAGTTGCAAATCAAGCAAATAAGCTGCTGGTGTTCTCAGAACAATGGGCTGATCACCCCAGAGTCCAGACCTCAACATCACTGAATGTGTTTGGGATTCTTTGGATTGTGAGAAGCAGAAAATGCAACCAACTTTGAAGACATTTGAATAAAAATATTGGAGATTTCTTAAAAAAGAAAGCAATTGCGTCTAGTTGTAGAGACTTTCATGTAATTTTCTGTTAAATGAGTACTTTATGTACTTTATGTGGTGGTGGGTGTTGGTCAGTGTGGTAACAGTATAAAGTTTGTTTTGCAGTGAGAGGTTTTCTTTATCAATCAGAGGTCCTTCTGTCCCTCCATCTATAAATCTCTTCTCTGCAGCCCCTCGTTCTCTCCCTCTCTTCCTCTGTCTCTCTCTGTCCTTCACTTTGTGTTTGGGCACTGAATAAGCCCCCCCTTGTCTCCGATCCCCTCTGGCCCGGTGAGGTCTTGGGCAACATGTGAGTGAACCCGTGGTAAAAAAGGAGCTGGAAAAGCGAGAGGCCAGCTGCCTCGCTCGCTTCAATGAGGCCTGTTTCATGTGCCAGAGCAGCTGGGCTGTGTGAATGGAGCACTGCAAACAACAGGACGCTGGGCCTCAGGGGCACCTCTGTGCCCACCTCTACATAGCAATGCCATCCACAAGCCTCAGGAGAGCAAAGCCACTCTCACTTGTCTGCGATAGCATCAGCAGTGCCCAGTCCAGACGCTCTGTTGTGACCCTGTTAGATGCTATCTCGCTAAGAGTCCTGCTAACAGTACTTAATGCACGGTGCTTTAGTGGTGAGGGAGAGTGATTAAATGCCATATTCCAGGTCACTCTTTTTTCTGTCACAAGGCGCCAGGTTGTCTGAGATGGTATCACATCACTCGTTGTGATGAGTTTCTCACAGTCCGGACAGACAGCTGTAGCTCTTCTCAGAGCACTGAGCATTCACTACAACCTTGTTTTCTCCTTTTTTTTCTTTCAGAGAAAAGACATAGAAAAGACTTTTGTAACTAAAACCTTGACTTTTTCCAGTTAAATTCTCTCTTTCAAATTGAATTGTTAATAAACTTCCTACTGGAAATATGAAATGTGATGCGGTTGTGTGAATAAAACAGGATTGACTTAACCTGAAATGGTGTGGTGGGCATCAATGGAGTAACTACTCAATAAGCAGTGGGACAATCGTACTGGGGCCCATGGTACAGTGGGGTTCACGGTGACCATGCCTAAAATCTTTATTGGGCCCCTCATGTAGATATTGATACAATTGTACCCCCCACTGACTCACAGAAAAATACAATTAAAAAAAAAAACTTCCATCAACACTACACAGGCATGCGTACAAATAAATGTGATGTTTATTTATCTCCCTATTGTTCATTACACAGCTCAACCAAATGGATCCTTTTAAAGTTATTTTGTATGGGGGAATTTTTGCATTAGGGTGCATAAGGTCCTGGTTACACTGGGGGCGGGCATGGACGACATGTCTAAAATGGGCAATAAGAGAGCTGAGGGCAATTTTATACTTTTTGATCCCATATTAGTGGCTTTTTCATGTTAACTGCATTAGGGCTAGAATTGAGGGCTAAAAGATTAGGCATATAAATCAGGGATGCACTAGGTGAACATGCATGGAACCAAGGGTTGTATGAATGTGTTCAGTACTCCATAAAGACGATGACACAGTCTGCTAAAATCTCATAAATCTCCATATAGAGAATATATGGTTGCTGTGTACACAGTAGGATCTCATAATTCCACATTTGTAGGAATCTGCATGTCTGAATGACAGTAAAGTTTTGATTTTGACTTGTTTGATGTTGGTTTTTCTTGTAGTAATTGTGGCCTTTCCTGGGATTTATTAATGCATGAATCTTGCCCTTATTTCAACCCTTGGGACTCTAGAGTTAATGTTGGAGTTTTCTATACTTTATGTTTAAATTACCTAATTATTTCTTTACTTTAATTATTACATTTCATGTAATTATATGATTATTACATAGTAATTACATAATAATTACATTGACATCAACTGCACATTCTGTCCCAAGAGGAATGAGTATACATTTTGACTTTTTTGGTTTGTTTCAATGTTGAAAAATGACAAAACCATGGCCACAATGTAAAGTATGTTTTTTTTCTTTCCACAAAATAAGACTGTACACACAATACTTTTCACCAAAAATCTCTTCTGCTTACAAATACAGATTGATTGAGTTTAGAATCTATGCTTTTGGCAAAATTTGTCTACTTCTTCCAATGATTTATAAGTGAGAAATAACAAAATGTTACAAGAGATGTTTCAAGGCCTACAAGCCATTGGGGGACCCAGGAATGTTGGCACCTATGAATTGTGAGATCTTGTAATGCAGTGGTCAGCAACTCTGGTCCTGGAAGTCTACCATTCTGAAGAGTCTTGTTCCAACCACAATCTGCCACACCAACTCCAGCTCATTAACTTCTTCAGAAGTTCTTGATTGGCCAGATTAAATGCATTATATTATATGCAGGAAAGTCGATCTCCAGGTTATATTTTATATCGACACTAACTGTAGCCTCCTCCCTACAGCCATGACTTCGGCCACTCCCCCTTCCTCACGGAGCTCCTCCCCGCAGAAGGTGTGTCACTCCCAAACACAGACGGAGGTTCTGAAGCCACTGCTGGGTGGAGGAGGTGGAGCTACGGCAGGGGGCGGTCCTGCAGCGTTGAGGAGGCGTCGGCGTGTGCTCTCGAAAGATGGGCGGAGCAACGTTCGCATTGAGCACGTCAGCGGCCGGGGTGCTCTCTACCTGCGTGACCTCTGGACAACCTTTCTGGACATGCAGTGGCGCTACAAGCTCTTCCTTTTCTCAGCCACCTTTGCTGGCACGTGGTTTGTCTTTGGGGTGCTGTGGTACCTGGTGGCTCTGGTCCATGGAGACCTACTAGGTGAGGAGATGAGGAGGCCTTCACGAGCTGACTTTAGTGCTGCAGAAGATGTTTCATTGACATATCGGTCAAAACTGTCAAGCCTATATTTATACATATTGCATGTACTTATGTGAAATGATTCTATTACGTAAGACCAAAGCAACTTCACAGGTTTCAAATAATTAGTAGGAAAACGCAGATGTGTTCAGAATGGAGAACGGAGCACATAACAGTCTGAAAAGTTTGTTTAGCATTGAGAATGAGGTTATAATGGCATTAAAATCCTGGATGTCTTGTATTGAAAATCTTAAGGCAGATAATTGGATGAGAAATTATTACCAATACATAATTACACATATGTAATAACATCTAGATGAATTGAATATTAAATAAAACATCTAAAAACACGTTTTGGTGTCTAGTTTAAATTTTAAATATACAGTGTATTATTGAATAAATTAATAAAAAATGATAAGAGATTGCAGATGTAAGTTATTTATCTACACTGAAGTAAGAAATTTGAAAAGTAGAAAGTATCAACCTAATATCTGTCTAGAATTGATTGTTTTGCCTGATTTCATCATGGCTAAACCCAGTAATTCTAATGAAAGCATCATGTAAATTTGTCATGTGATTATATTTTTTGAAATATAAATTCATTTCAACACCTTTGATACAGTGAAGAAATTAATTTAATTGTCCTAACTGTAAATGTTTTGCTCTTTGCCACATAAAAAAGGCAGTGTGTTTGTGTATTTAATGACGAATTCAACAAATTTTTCAAAATTTCTGGAAAGCTCAAGTTTTCAAAGGTAAACAAAGTCATTTGGGGTGAATTGATATAAAATAGTTTAATGTAGAGAAACTTCCTGACTCAGATTTCTTTATAGTGATGGTGATGGGAATCAGGGCTTGCAATATCAACAACCCAAACATCGCGATGCAAATTATATTAAAAAATATTAAATGCGTTAGTCATCTGGTTCCTATCAACACCACTGTAAACAATACTGAGTTGGTAAGTTTCTCTAGAAAAAGAACATTTCATGTCAAATTGCTCTGAATGTCATTGTTCACAGCTTCATTTATTCAATTATGCAGAAATTGTGAAAACTTAGTGGAATGGCCCTTCAGGTATATCTATTTAAAAATAACATTATTCAGTAATTTGTTATGAGAGTAGAAACTGAAAAATTTTTTTAAAGTTACTATTTGCAAAATATCTCTGTTTCTACATCCTTTGTTTCCTCCTCCTGGCAGAGTTTGACCCGCCCTCCAACCACACCCCCTGCGTGATGCAGGTCCAGACGCTGACGGGGGCTTTTCTCTTCTCGCTGGAGTCACAGACCACCATTGGCTATGGCTTCCGTTGCATCACTGAGGAATGTCCAGTTGCCATCATCCTTCTCATCGTGCAGCTAGTCATCACTATGGTGATGGAGATCTTCATCACAGGAACCTTTTTGGCTAAGGTGAAGAAAAGCTATAAAAACATTACTGCATTTCATAAGAACTAATATTCTGAGAGTCTTTCTTCTAACATCTAACATCTGTGCTGCATAGGTGGTGCTACATATATACAGAGGTTGTTGTACTGGATGTACACTGTATATGCTGTATATGCTGTCTTGTGTGCACAGTATGTATGGTGTTGAATATGAATAGGGTTGTATGTATAGCATCTGTATCTGATATATAGTGTTGTATGTACAGAGTATTATTTAATGTGGTGTATGTATCTGCATGTGGTTGGTCTTATATAAGAGTATGTATAGAGGTGTATGTATCAGTGCTGTTCTGTGTGTAGGTGACCTCATATGCATACACTGTAAAGAACTGGTGCAAATTTACAGTATAAAAACCGCAGTAATTGCTGTATTTCTTAAATAGAGCAGATTGCTTTGATTATTATATAGCATTCTTTTTTGGGCTTCATTATTATATAAGCATAATGGAAGATACAGGAAGATACAGGTTACATTTGTTGTCAAAGAAGTAAAAGTACTGGATTTCTTAGCTTTAAGATACGTTTCAGTGTATTTTACATGTTTATTACTATGTTGATGGTGATTGTGTTTCAGTAACTAGTTCATCCTCTAATGTTATAATTAATTGGTATTTAATTACTGCAGTCTTTGTAGTCTTAATGATGGTGTCAGTGCAGTAACTGCTGTAATGTGATGTTCAGTTCTTGATGTGATTGATAATCAGTTCTAGGCTTGATTAACATGATTGTTCTCTTAACTACTAAATAGATTTGTAGTGCTTGTCTATATTTTTACATGTTGTACTACATAATGTGAAAACAAGGAACGTATGGCAGCTGTGGGTTCATATTAGAGCACATATGAGCTGTTAATTGGAAAATAAGGGGGCAGGAAAAACTGGACAAATTCAGTAATCAACTGTTTGTAGAAACAGAATATTGTAATTTTATGCTATAGCATGGGTTCTGTAAATAAACACTAAATTACTCGCGAAATGTCTGCCAGTAAGTTCGTGTGATTTTAAACTGGACTGTTTAACAGTGTAGAGTTCATAATGTCTGTAGTGTGTATAGTATCTATAGTAGCGTATGTATAGTATGTGCAATGTGCTGTAAGGAGGTGGTCTTGTATTTATAGTATAGTGGTATGCAGTGTGTATGCTGTACTGTGAGGAGGTGGTCTTGTATGTATTGTATAGTGATGTGCAGTGTGTATGCTGTGCTGTGAGGAGGTGGTCTTGTATATATTGTATAGTGGTGTACAGTATTTGTGCTGTAATATTGTGGTCTTGTATGTATTGTATAGTAGTGTACAGTTTGTAAGCTGTGCTGTGTGGAGGTGGTCTGGTATATATTGTACAGTGGTGTAAAGTATTTGTGCTGTATGGTGGTGGTCTTGCATGCTTTGGATAGTGATGTACAGTATTTGTACTGTAATATTGTGGTCTTGTATGTGTTGTATAGTAGTGTACAGTTTGTAAGCTGTGCTGTGTGGAGGTGGTCTTGTATGCATTGGATAGTGGTGTACAGTATGTATGCTATGCTGTGTGGAGGTGTTCTTGTATAAATTGTAAAGTGGTGTACAGTATTTGTGCTGTGAGGAGGTGGTCTTGTATGCTTTATATAGTGGTGTACAGTATGTATGCTGTGCTGTGAGGAGGTGTTCTTGTATGTATTGTATAGTTGTGTACAGTATTTGTGCTGTGTGGTGGTGGTCTTGTATGTTTTGGATAGTGGTGTACATTATCTGCTGTTCTGTGTGTAGGTGGCTCGACCGAAGAAGCGAGGCGAGACAGTGAAGTTCAGTCAGCATGCTGTCGTGGCCAATCATGAAGGACGACCGTGTCTCATGATTCGTGTTGCCAACATGCGCAAGAGCCTGCTTTTAGGCTGTCAGGTAAGTATATATAAACGTGCGTATTAATGTGGGCGTTATTAAGGTTGGTAGTGAGATTATGATACAGCATAGAACGGGTTTGAATCTGACATATAATTTCCAACTTGCATCTAGGATTAACAGTTAACTGCAGTTTCTACTGCATGCTTTTTGCAGCTTTTTGTTGGGCCACAAGACATACATAGATAAGTAGATATGTTTTTGTGTAATTGTCTTCTTTGTGTAGTGAGTGTTAGTATGTGTTTAATGCCCTAATTCAGACAGTCTTAGTCTTAATCAGCCAGTCTTAACCAACCTTAATCTTTGCCCAGGTAACAGGTAAGCTGCTGCAGACGTCTCTGACTAAAGAGGGTGAGACGGTACGCCTGGACCAAAGGAACGTGGCCTTCCAAGTGGACACATCCAGCGACAGCCCCTTCCTCATTCTCCCCCTCACCTTCTACCATGTCATCGATGACAGCAGTCCTCTTCGTGCCTGGGCTGCAAAAGGTAGGAAGAGACCTACAGAAGAAAAGAGACTTAGAAGAGAATTCTGGAATAAGTTCTTAGAACAGTACCACTGCATTGGTCCATTTTACATTAGAAATTTTAAGCACTCTAGAACTTTAGCGCTCATAATGTTCTAGACTTCATTTAGACTTTTAAAGAGAACGGGGACCGGCAAACCAAATGTTAAGAAGCGCTATTTTGTCCTTTCAACAAAAAATAAACCACCTTGGGAGCCACAAAATGAAAATGGCTGAAAATATATTTTAATATGTGCCACCTAATGTCCTAGTGTAGAGTAACAACTATAAACGAAAATGCAGACTTACTTTGCTCTGCTTTAAGCTCTCTTTAAGCTTTCTTTGCTCAACTTTAAGCTCAGCTACAGCCACTTTTCTTGCATCTCCAGGAGGAAACTTCTGCAAATGTGGAATAGGTTCTTGTAAAATGTTTGATTTTTTGTGAGTTTCTTGTTCGAATTTTCCTGTTCCACCTTAAATGCAACGTCTGCACCATTTAAGGTGGAACAAGAAAATTAGAATGAGAAGCTGACTTCACCTTTGTGACTTTTCAGTGTTTGACAGTTTCTTGTTGCAGATCAAACATATCAGGAAACCAGCTGGAGTGATTATAAATGCAAATAAATCCATTGGTCTTTAAATTATCTATGTTTGTCTTAAATCTTTCTCTTTTCCTTTTTGTTAGCTACTAGCTAGGCTAGATTGTTGTCTGCATTGCTGTGGTGATCAGCAGTCTGCACGCCAAACTTCAGGGTTATAGGTTATTGAGTTAGCAGTTCTACATTAACTCCAGCGTTTCAGTCCATTTATTGTTAAAACTTTGTTAAAATGATCAGCTGAGCTTTATTTTACTGCAAAGAAGCATTATTTTATTTTTACCTTAAAATATTATAATTTTTTATTTTTACCTTTTGCTGTGGAGCTGCAACAGGGCAGTAAAAGAGTCGTATGTTGCCGAACCCGGTTATAGAAAAATAGATCCCAGTCCTGGTTCTGGAGTACCCTGCCTAGCACACTTTTCTGTTTTCCATGCTCCAACACACACATTTGAACTCATTATTGGCTTGTTAATGCTCTGATTCATTGGATCAAGTACACTATATGTCCAAATGTTTGTAGACATGCATCCATTTTTTCTGAATTTGGGGACTTAATAGGGGTCTGTTAATCTTTGCTGCAGTAACAGCTTCTACTCTTCTGGGAAATCTTTACCCTAGAAATTGGAACATTTGATCACATTCAGGCATAGGAACATAAGAGAAATCAGGTACTGATGTTAGAAGATTAGTTCTGGATCACAAATTCCACCCCAACTCATCCCAAATGTATTGAATAGTGTTCCATCACTCCAGAGAATGCAGTTCCGCTGCTCAACAGCCCAGTAGTTTTATAGCTTTATACACTTCTGGCTGATGCTTGGCAGCTGAGTCTTCCATTCTATTGCCTTTCTATGGAGATTATACAAGATGTGTGTGCACAACTGCACACCTTATAGTAGCTGAACTCACTGATTACAAAGGGTGTGTGCATATGTTTGACCATATAGGGGAGCAGCATGAGGACCAGCATTAGGGACTGCTGTTCCAGAAGATTTCTAGAAGAGAAACTAGCACTAAATGAGGCCCAAAACTTTGTGAGCTCAAAAGTCCCACAGTGTTCACAAGTTCTGAAGTAGAACTGGAACAATGCAATGTTACTGTTCTAAGAAGTCACTGCTACGATGATACCCAAATATCTATGCCAAAGCCTCTGATACAGATCTTCCCGCGGAGAGTAGTAGTACAGAACACTTGAGAATGTGGAAAATAGGGCTGGACACAAGCCCCGTATGGCTTTGGCAGAGTTGCTTTGAGGACAGGGGTGTATGATGGGGGAAATGTGAACTGCGGCAGGGAGAAAGGGGTCAAAGACTTGAGAGGTGCTCTGTTACAGTGTCAGAACAGAGGAGCAAGGAGAAGGTTGGAGGTGTTTTTGACTGTTTGAGGGTATACTGGTACATCCTTTCCACTAATATTTTACACCTGTATCAGAGTCAAGCTCAACAGGCTCAGATTATATTACTGATCCGTCACGTTCAGTCTTTTTTGCTGTGTTATCATAAGCTATTATGTTGAAAATAAAAGATATAAGCAAAGAGGATCAGTATTAGTGCATCTGCACATCTAGGATTTCTTCATTTATTTATTTAGTGTTGAGGATGGAAAATGACAGCCGAGATGAAGCTAGCAATAAAACAACACCACTAACAATCCCATAGTATTAGATTATTCCTCCAGTTGTAAACATATGCATGACCATATATATATATATATATATATATATATATATATATATATATATATATATATATATATATATATATATATATTCAGATTAGTTTTCCATTAACAGTTGGAGGGTAAAAAACAAAATAGGTTAAAGTAATGGGAAGATGCATTATAGCACACTGTGCACATCCCATGTATCAGTACAATATAGTTTACAGTGTAGTCAGCAATACAATGTGTAATGAATTGTGTAGTGGTAGTTGTAACATGATGAGTGTGGAACAGTCTAGCCAGAACCATCTGAGAAAGAGAGAGAGGCCCATTAGAGTGTGAACTGCTAGGAGCAGTGGAGCAGTGGAAAAGCCCGGAAATCGGGCCAGCACTGTAACGTGCCAGCAGAGCCGGGGCTCAGGGCCTCATTTCAGGACTTTTGGATGGACATGCAAATAGCAGAAATGAAAACCAACAGTGGAAGGATCCCCACTGGAGGATGTGCTACTGTGCTACTGTACCAAATGCACCTGACCTTTGAACGCTGTGCTTAGAGCAATGTGCAGAGCTGTGTAAGCCTCTACAGGACATTTACTTCTGAAAATCACTTTGGGCTACTGCAGAATCATCGCTACCACTGCTAGTAGCAAATTGGAGTGAATTTGGAACAAACACAAAAGCTCAGTGCATTGATATTGGTGTACGTGTATATTTAACACTCACATGTGTACTAAGATGTAGACATTATATTGATCTGATACTAGGTATTGGTACTGAGCTGATATCAGTTGCACTGATATCAGTGCTGATTTGGATATCGAAGGGAGAAAATAATTAATCCAACTCAAATCTATCCTGAGGTAGTCCACAGTGTGTGATGTGATGTTGTTAACTGTATTTTACAGCGTTTGAGTAGTTTGAGCATGATAGCCTACTTTTAAATGTTCATGCTGAAGTGAAGTGCTTGATTTAACAATAAAACTCTGGGCCCGCTGGTGGGCCCTGGCTATTTAAGTGGTTAATTAAGCATCAGGAAAAGAAAAAAACACAAACGCTTCAATATCTAAATATGATATCACATTTTCACTTTTCAGCTTTTCAAAGAAATCTGCAGGGTTATTTTTCCACACCTCCAAAGTTCAGTCTTAGAAGTTGCGTTTTCTGCTTCTCACGATCCAAAAAATCCCAAACACATTCAGTGATGTTGAGGTCTGGACTCTGGGGTGGTCAGTCCATTGTTCTGAGAGCGCCAGCAGCTTATTTGCTTTGATTTGCAGGTTTTTCAGATGAAAGATCTAAGTAATTTTGTTTGATGGTGACAGTTTTGGTGGTCTACCAGCTCTTATTGAGAGTTTCATTTTCTTTCTATGTTTTAATAATCTGTAATAAAATTATTTAATAATATCCCAGTCCCAAAAGACTTTCCAGTTCTTTGTGCAAGTTGCTTTTCTTACATCTAAAATTTGAAATACCACTGAAAAATGAATATTGTGAGCTTAATGAATGAATGAATGAAATAAGTAAAGGCTGTTCCCTGTCTTTTATATAATACTGTATCTTTAGAATAGCAGTGAATTGTGAGCTACTACAGGCCTAAAGCATTTTAAATGTTTGCATTAAAGGTATAGAAACAGTATTATGTAATATTAAGTAATCTGTGACAGGAATTCAGGATCACGATGTCTGCCACTATATGTGCTGTTAGAACTTTGGACCTGCTAACACTCAGACTGGCTAGCACTTGGGCTTGTGTACACTCTGGGATGAATTCATCTCCAGATTTCTGAAACATCAGTGGGAATTCTTTGAGGAGAAAACATGGACATGAACTTGAACATGTGAAGAGACTTTCGGTTTTGAGGTTTGAGGTTAAAGGTCATGTTTTGGATCTCAGGCCCAGAGAAAGAGCTTTGTGTGAATGGCATGGTGTGAGGTTGTTGTGTAAAGGGCAGTGTTAACTTGATTTGAGGAGGTTAAAAGACAGAAGTCAGTGTCACAGACAGAGCGAGTCGGACATTCTTGATTGTCGTGGTTCTCTGCTGTCACACAGTGGGGTTTGTGTATGTAATGATGTAGAAATGGAGGGCTTAGTGTTTACGTGAGTATGGGATATGTATAATGGGGAGAGGATTTGCGAGTTGGCACGTACCTCTGTCTCACTCCTCCCTCCTCTCTCTCTCTTTCTCCATCTCTAGTGTTCTCTCATCTCTTTATCACTCGTTCTCTCTCTCTGGCCCTTTCCCATCCTCTCTGTCACTCTTTCTCTTTCTCTCTCTGGTTGGAATGTGTGTATGAGTGTGTGCCAGGGTGTCTCATTAGGGGCACAAAGCAGCTCAGTCCGTGGTGCTGAAACGGAGGTGGTGGATCCGGTTACGGTAGTACAGCTTCAACTCCGGACGGGGGGCCATTACAGCCCCTCTCTCTACACTACTCGCTACATAGTCTCACCATGCTCACCATTCATATTAGTTCAGTTTAACTCAATATTGCTTTATGCATTTGACTGAATCAATCTGTGGTGCCTCAGGTGCCATACTGCAAAAAAAGCAACAGGGAACAGACTGAAAGTTGAAAATTGTTCTTGGCTTGAACTGTATGGATCTAGATAAAACCTACAATTGGTACAGAACCTTCACATTGTCTCATTTACTAAATGGTTCTCCATTGAAGGTTCTTAATGTAACTGAGAGTGTTTCCAAGTTATTGCTCCAAAAAAAAAAAACAC